AAGAATAGGTTAGTTACGCAAGACACAGTAGTCAATGACTAGGGTAACCTACTGTTTGATAAACCCAAAAACTAGCTTCTGGGATAACAATTCACCATTTGATAAAAAAATTTCCAGGAAAATTAGAAAGTTGTATGGCAGAAACTAGGCATAAACCAAATATCTTATACCTTATACCAAGAGAAGGTCAAAATGAGTACCTGACTTAGACATAATGGGTAATACCATAAGCAATTAAGAGAGCAAGGAATAGTTTACCTGTCAGATCTATGGAGAATGGAAGAATTTATGACCAAAGAAAAGATAGAGAATATTATGAAGTGCAAAATGGATAATTTTGGTTATATTAAATTAAAAAGGTTTTGCACAAACAAAACCAATGCAATGAAGATTAGAAGGAAAGCAAAAAGTTGGTAAACAATTTTTACTGCCAGTGTTTCTGATAAACCTCTCATTTCTCTTTTTTTCTTTCTTTCTTTTTTTCTTTCTTTCTTTCTTTCTTTCTTTTTTTAATGAGGCAATGGGGTTATGTGATTTGTCCAGGGTCACACAGCTAGTGAATATTAAGTGTCTGAGGCTGGATTTACACTCAGGTCCTCCTGATTCCAGGGCCAGTGCTCTATCCACCTCACCACCTAGATGCCACAAAAGACTATGTTTCTAAAATATATAGAGAACTGAGTCAAATTTGTAAGAATACAAATCATTCCCCAACTGATAAATGGTCAAAGGATATGAACAGACAGTTTTCAATTGAAGAAATTAAAGCTATCTATAGCCATATGAAAAAAAAATTCTCTAAATCTCTATTGATTAGAGAAATGTAAATTAAAACAACTCTGAGGTGCCACTTTACATCTATCAGATTAGCTATTACGACAAAATAGGAAAATGACAAATGTTGGGTAAGATATGAGAAAATTGGAACACTAATGCATTGTTGGTAGAGTTGTGAACTTATCCAACCTTTCTGGAGAGCAATTTTGAACTATACCCAAAGGGCTGCATACCTTTTGATCCAGCAATACCACTACTAGATCTGTATCCCAAAGAGATTATAAAAAATGGAAAATTATCCACATGTACAAAAATATTTATAGCAGCTCTTTTTGTGGTGGCAAAGAATTGAGAATTGAGGGGATGCCCATCAAATGAAGAATGACTGAACAAGTTGTGGTATAAGAATGTAATGGAATACTGTTGTGCTATAAGAAATGATGAGCAGGTGGAGTTTAGAAAAACCTGGAAAGACTTACATGAACTGATGCTGAGTGAAATGAGAGAACAGGAGAACTGTACACAGTAACAACCTTGTGTGAGGATCAACTCTGATAGACTTACAATAATCTATGACAGCTCCAAAAGCCTCACCATGGAAAATGCTATCCACCTCCAGAGAAAGAACTATGGAGTCTGAATGCAAATCAAAGCACACTATTTTCTCTTTTAATTTCTTTCTTGTGATTTTCCTCTTTTGTTCTGATTCTTTTTTTTCACAACATGACTAATTCAGAAATATGTTTAATATGATTGTACAGGTATAGCCTATATCAGATTGCTTTCTGTCTTTAGGAGGAGGGTGGGAAGATAGGAAGGGAGAAAAAAAAAATGGAACTCAAAATCTTATAAAAGTGAATGTTGAAAACTAAAAAAAAAAAGAGAGAGACAGAGAGAGAGAAGAAGAAATAGATCATTCTTGGCAACAACCTGGATAAGGAGATGAGAGATAATGAAGAATACAGGTTGACACCTTAGTTACAAGCCTAAGGATCAGGAAGACACTGATGCTGTCAACAGTTTAGAAGTTTGGGAGGGGGAAAGATTTGGGCTGAAAGGTAACAAGTTCAGTTTTAGATATGTTCAATTTAAGATGTCTACTGGACATCCAGTTCAAGATATCTAACAGGCAGTTGAAGAAGTGAGACAGGATATCAACAATGAAGTTAATTCTGGATCAGTAGATTTGAGAATGTTTTTCACACTGCTTTTTCCAGAGCTAGTTCTGAAGGTTTGGAAGTTTTCAGTGCTTCAAGGTGGTATGATTTGGGAAATAAGGTTGTCACCACTGGATTAATATCAGTTACATATTAGAGGTGAATGTTTTTAGGTTTGAGTTATAAGAGAAGTTCTTTGATGTCACCTTTAAATCTTGACATTCTGAGGTGGGGAGTGAAGGGGATACTAGGGAAGGGAAGGGCCATGAAATGGAAACACATTAACGAACCTTTTTCACAGTATTTTTTAAGATATTCAGAATTTCAATATTTCATTGTGCTAACTGAAAGGGAAGTAATGAAAAATAACATGTTTTCCCTTGAGCTGGGATTTCTTGTTTTTCTGTTTAGCCCACATCAAAGCCCATAGTCCTCACAGTTTTGATGACAGTAGCTCACTGTTTGCTCAAAGTACATGTGAACATAGGCAAATCATTAGAAATATATTCGGCAAGTTGAATTACAGAAACTTCTTATCATATTGTATTACTTCAATCATCTTTAACCCTTAAATGTTTATTAAGAATATAGAGGAAATGTAATTTTCAAAATTTTGACAAATGTTTTTCAATAAGAGAATGACACAGCAAATTAAGATCCATGGAAATACATTTACAGATACTGATAATGAGGAAATGGAGTACTTAAAAACTTATAAGCTGCATTTACCATTACATTATAACAGAACACACTATACAACTGCCACTGGGTATATAGAAGCTAAATATTCATATGCTTTAACTGGAATGTTTGCCTAAAATTTGTCTGCTTCTGCCCTTGATATGTTGTTATACTTGTGGCTCTAAAAGTAGAACTCTCTGCTCTCTAAGTTCAAGTTTAATGTTGGGACAAAATGAGGCACTCAAGAGGCACTAAACATTTAACAAAGGAAGTTTACTTTACTCTAAGACAGTAAAGATACTGTACTGCTTATCTTCTCTGGACATGGCCTCCCTCACCATCTGGTAACTCATCTGGCCAGTCAGTCATCACAATATTGCAGCTCACATAGTCACAGGAATCCACTCAGTCTGAGAAAGATGGAATCTGCATGGCTTGAGCTCTTTATTGGCCCTAAACTAGGAAATTATATTGGAGAAACTGGGGCAAATCAGAGAAAGAAGTTTCACCAGAGAATCTGCTAGGGAAACTGGGACTGCAGAAAGTTGTACGAGGGTTGTATTTAGGGAGAAAACTGTGTCAGGATAAGTGGAGCTGTGTCAGAAAAATATTGACCTACCACATACCTCAACCTTTATATGGTGCTATGCAATTTAACTGATATAGTAATTCATTATTACATGGTTACAGTTTCTTTTTCCAAAGACTGAGCTTTCTGCTTTCATTAGCTTGTGATTTTTTTATGCCTCAATCCGTTTCCCATGCCATAGCAGTATTAAAGTAGTTCTACCAATTTCAAGCTCAAAAATTCATCACATTTTACAGTGTATCTGAGATTACATGCATGTGAGAATTTCTGCCATCAGTAACACAGCTTGCAACCTATCCCTGCTTATTCATTCTATGTGATTCTTAACCATGCTCTTCTAATGACTGCATATAGAGGATCTATTCAACATGTTGGACTCATTTTTCTAGGTCTCTTTACATCTAAAAGATCCAAGTGTAGCTCTTGTAGCCTGAGATCCTTCTGATCCATATACTTACCTACCTGACCATTTTTTTCCAATCATAATTTCTTTGGTGTCATCTTCTGCATAAGGTGGACCTTCTCCAAACTTCACCCCTGCCCCATCCTATACTGGAAGCCATTTAGAATGTTGTAATTCAGCCTACCTTCTTCCTCACATTGAATTTCTCATTTTCAATCCCAACTCATGTTGTTGTTCAGTCATTTACAGTCACGTCCTACTCTTTGTGACCCCATTTGTTTTCTTGACAGAGATATTGGAGAGGTTTGCCATTTCCTTTTCTAGGTCTTTTTACAGAGGAGAAAACTGAGGCAAACAGGGTTACGTGACTTGCCCAGAGTCACACAGCTAGTAAGTGTCTGAGATCAGATTCAAACTCAAGATGAGTGAGTCTTCCTGATTCCAGGCCCTGCACTCTATCCACTGCACCACCTCATAGTCTTCTATAATTCCTGACCTTGATCATATATATTATTTCTTTAAATCAATTGACTGTTAATCATATCATAGCAGGGACAACAACTAAATTTTTCTCATGTGAATTATTATGTAGATTTATTTTAAATAAAGCAGTATAATTCTGTTTATTTCACATTTGATTTTATGCTATGTATCAAATACTCCTATAATGTAATGTTATCTCACAATAGCCACATCATACAACTATCATTTTTTTCTACCTTTCTTATAGCACTGAGCCTTTTTGAACAATTAACCTCACCAAAAAATATGTTATAACAGGCTGGTTCCACAAACTAGAAGTCAGAGACTTAATAAATGGAAACATTGATAATTGTTGTAACATCCCTTTATTGCTGCAAAATGAGAAAAGCCAAATTTTGTAAATGCCTTTGTATTTTATGAGAATGTCTTTCCAAAATAAACAAATAATACTATTGAAATGCTAATCATTTTTCAAATTTAAAGATATTTAACAATGGGACAAATAAAATTTTCCAAAAATTGAATACCAAACACATCATATTTTTGCTACCTTAAATATAAATATCCTTTAAGAGAGGAGATGTGAAGGCTTAATTATGATTAGCTATTTTTTTTTATGTGAGGCAATTGGGATTAAGTGACTTGCCTAGAGTCACGCAGCTAGTGAGTGTTATGTGTCTGAGGAAGGATTTGAACTCAGGTCCTCCTGACTCCAGGGCCAGTGCTCTATCCACTGCATCACCTAGTTGCCCCTTAGTTAATTATTTTTTAGCTCAGATTTATTTTTTACAGAAAGCAGAGAAAAATACACTTTTTTGAAACTTGAGTTTCAGAAGAAGACAGTGAAAGTTTAAAAAATAGCTTTGGAAAATATTCTAAAGGGGATAAATTATAATGCCTGTGGTCCTACCTGGGTAAAGAAGGGCTCATAAATTTCAACTCCTTTATCAGATCCTTGCAGTAAGACTTCCTGGCCACGTCTCCAGCTGTACCGAACAGGTGGATTGGAATTGGCAACACAACGAAGGAACACCGTCCTCTCATAGTAAAATTGTTCTTTAGCTTCACCTATGCTTTGATGAACAGTTACTACTGGATCATCCAAATCTAGGAATAAGAACAACCAAGGTAATCACAACTTGCAAAACTTCTATTATATTGTAAACAAAATTATCAGAGAAGCCAATTCTGACATAATGATGAATTATTAAAAAGCAATATTCATTTTAGAATCTAGCAATGTTTGTGAAATGCTGAATAATATTTCCTAATAATGTCAGAAAATAAAAGAAGGTGCCTTTTAGTATCTCAGATTCATATATAAAGAGGGTATGGATGTCAGTTATACTAATTACATTTGCGTTAGTTGAGGTAGGGTTTTGGACAACATTACATAGGCCCCATGGCATGTAACTCTAGGTCACAGAGCAAGTTTCAACACATCTGAGATTAGGATATAAAACTCTCAATCCCCATTTGAAGTTTTTTTGTCAAAGATACTGGAATGGTTTGCCATTTCCTTCCACAATTCATTTTGCAGATAAGAAAACTGAGACAAACAGGGTTAAGTGATTTGCCCAGGGTCACACAGTTAGAGTATCTTTGACCAGATTTTCCTGACTCCAGGCCTGGCACACTATCCACTATATAGTCTTGTTGCGCTTCTCAAACAATCTGTATACAGGATACAGAAAAAGGCATATTACCAATACTATTGATCTTACAACTGTAATGGTGATAAGAAAATCATAGAATTGCAGATTGGTAGAGCTGGAAAGGACCCAGGAGATCATTTTTCTAGCTAGAAAAGTAGATGGCAGAGTGGATAGAGTGCCAGCATATGAGGAAGACCTGAGTTCAAATCCTGCCTTAGACAATAGCTGTGTGATTTTTGACAAGTCACTAAAACTCTGTCTGCCTCAACTTCTTCAACTGAAGACAGGTAATTTGGGAATAATAGTATAACCTACCTCCTAGCTGTACCAGATCTTAAATTACATTATAAAGCAGCAATCATCAAAACTACTTGGTATTGGCTAAGAAATAGAGTAGTGGATCAGTGGAATAGTTACATAAGCAAAACACAATAGTCAATTACTTCAGTAATCTACTATTTGATAAATCCAAAGACTCCAGCTTCTGGGATTTAACAAAACTGCTGGGAAAACTGGAGAATGGTATGGCAGAAACTAGGCATAGTTTACACCTTACACCAAGATAAAGTCAAAGGGGAAACAGAAAGCTGGGAAATAATATTTACAGCCAGTGTCTCTGATAAAGGCCTCATTTCTAAAATGCATAAAGAACTGATTCAAATTTATAACAATACAAGTCAGTCTCCAATTAATAAATGGTCAAAAGATATAGATAGGCAGTTTTCAGAGGAAAAAATTAAAACTATCTATAGTCATACAAAAAATGCTCTAAATCACTATTGATTACAGAAATGCAAATCAAAACGACTCTGAGGTACCACATCACACCTATCAGATTGTTCAACATGACAAAACAGGAAAATAATAAATGTTGGAGAAGATGTGGGAAAATTGGAACACTAACACATTGTTGGTAGAGTTTTAAACTGATCTAGCCATTCTGGAGAGTAATTTGGAAATATGCCCAAAGGGCTATAAAAATTGTGCTTATCCTTTGACTCAGCAATAACACTTCTAGGTCTGTATCCCAAAGAGATCATAACAATGGGAAAAGTACCCACAGGTACAAAAACATTTATAGAAGCTCTTTTTGTGGTTGCCAAGAATTGGAAATTGAGGGGATGCCCATCAATTGGGAAATGACTGAACAAGTTGTGGTATATGAATGTAATGGAATACTATTGTGCTATAAGAAATGATGAGCAGGTGGATTTCAGAAAAACCTGGAAAGGCTTATATGAACTGATGTTGAGTGAAACGAGAAGAACCAGGAGAACATTGTGTATGGTAACTGCCATATTGTGCAATGACTGACTTTGATAGACTAAGCTCTTCTAAGCAATGCAAGCATCTAAGACAACTCCAAAAGACTCATCAAAAATGCCATCCACATCCAGAGAAAGTATTATGGAGTTTGAATGCAGATCGAAAAATACTATTTGCTCTTTTTCCTTCTGTTTTGTTTTGTTTCCTCTTTCTTGTAGTTCCTCCTATTGATTTTGACTATAGAAACCTTTAATTTCTTCCTCTGAAAATTGCCTGTTCATATCCATTGACCATTTATCAATTGAGGAATGACTTGTATTTTTATAAGTTTGACTTAGTTCTCTATGTATTTTAGAAATGAAGCCCTTATCAGAGACACTAGTTGTAAAACTTCTTTCCCAGTTTTCTGCTTCCCTCCTGATCTTGGTTGCATTGGGTTTGTTTGTGCAAAATCTTTTCAATTTAATACAATCAAAATAACCAATTTTGCATTTCATAATATTCACAGAGATCTCCTCTTTAGTCATAAATTCTCCTGTTCTCCATAAATCAGCCAGGTAAACTATTCCTTGCTCTCCCAGTTTGCTTATAGTATCAGTCTTTATATCTAAATCATGAACCCATTTTGACTTTATGTTTGTGTGTGGTATAAGATTTTCATCTATGCCTAGTTTCTGTCATATTCATTTCCAGTTTTCCCAGCATTTTTTTTCAAATAGTGAGTTTTTATCCCAAAAGCTAGAGTCTTTGGGTTTATCAAACAGTAGATTGCTATAATCATTGACTGCTGTCTTGTGTACCTAACCCATTCCACTGATCTACCACTCTACTTCTTAGCCAGTACCAAGTAGGTTTGATGATTGCTGTTTTATAATACAATTTAAGATCTGAAATTGCAAGACCACCTTCTCTAGTATTTCTTTTCATTAGTTCTCTTGATATTCTGGACCTCTGGTTCTTCCAAATGAATCTTCTTACTATTTTTCCTAGATCTATAAAATAATTTTTAGTACTTTGATTAGTAGTGCACTGAATAAGTGAATTAGTTTAGGTAGAATTGTCATTTTTATTATATTAGCTCAGCCTATGCATGAGCAACTGATGTTTTTCCAATTATTTAGAACGGACTTTATTTGTGTGAAAAGTGTTTTGTAATTGTGCTCACATAGTTCCTAGGTTTGTTTTGACAGTTAGACTCCTAAATATTTTATAAAGTCTATAGTAACTTTAAATGGAATTTCTCTTTTTATCTCTTGCTGTTGGGCTTTGTTGGTAATATATAAAAATGCCTATGATTTATGTGGGTTTATTGTATAGCCTGCAACTTGGCTAAAAATTGTTTATTATTTCAAGCAGTTTTTTTTAGTTGATTCTCTAGGATTCTGTAAGTATACCATCATATTAACTGCAAAGGGTGATAGCTTTGTTTCTTTGCCTATTCTAGTTCCTTCAATTTTTTTTCCTTCTCTAATTGCTAAAGCTAACATTTCTAGTACCATATTGAACAACAGTGGTGATAATGGACATCCGTGTTTCACCTCTATCTTATTGGAGATGTTTCTATCTTATCTGCATTATATATAGTGCTTGCTGAAGGTTTTAGGTAGATGCTACTTATCATTTTAAGGAAGACTCCATTATTTCTATTCTCTATAGTGTTTTTGATAGGAATGGGTGTTGTATTTTGTCAAAAGCCTTTTCTGCATCTATTGAGATAATCATATGATTTCTGTTAGTTTTGTTGTTGATATGATCAATTATGCTGATAGTTTTCATAATATTAAACCAGTCCTGCATTCCTACTATAAATCCTGCCTGGTCATAGTTGCTGTGATCTCTTTGCTGATATTTTATTTAAAATTTTGGCATTTATATTCATTAGGGAAATTGGTCTATACTTTTCTTTCTCTGTTTTAACTCTTCCCAGTTAGGTATCAGCACCATATTTGTATCATGAAAAGAATTTGGTAGGACTGCTTCTTCACCTATTTTCCCAAATAATCTATACAGTATTGGATTTAATTGTTCTTTAAATGTTTGATAGAATTCACTTGTAAATCCATCTGGCTCTGGAAATTTTTTCCCAGGGAGTTCATTGATGGCTTGTTCAATTTCTTTTCTGAAATGGAGTTATTTAAGTATTTTACTTCCTCTTCTGTTAATGGGGGCAATTTATATTTTTGCAAATATTTGTCCATTTCACTAATATTGTCAAATTTATTGGCATACAGTTGGACAAAATAGTTCCTAATTATTGTTTTAATTTCCTCCTCCTCGGTGGTGGATTCACCCTTTTCATTTTTGATAGTGGTGATTTGGTTTTCTTCTTTTTAAAAAAGTGAAATTAACCAGAGGTTTATCTATTTCATTGTTTTTTTCCCATAAATCCAGCTCTTAGTTTTATTTATTAGTTCCCTAGTTTTCTTAATTTCAATTTTATTATTCTCTCTTTGGTTTTCAGTATTTCTAATGCGGCACTGGGGATTTTTAATTTGTTCTTTTTTAGGTTTTTTTTTTAGTTGCATGTCCAATTCATTGATCTCCTTTTTCTCTATTTTATTCACGGAAACATTTAGAGATATAAAACTTCACCTAAGAATTCCTTTCACTGCATCCCATAAGTTTTAGTATGTTCTCTCATTATTGTCATTCTCTTGAATGAAGTTATTGATTGTTTCTATGATTTGTTGTTTGACCCACTCATTCTTTGGGATTCGATTATTTAGTTTCCAATTAATTTTTAGCCTATTTTTCCATGGACCTTTATTACATGCAATTTTTATTACATCATGATCTGAAAAGGATGCATTTAATATTTCTGCCTTTCTGCTTTGGATTGTGAGGCTTTTATGACCTACTACATAGTCTATTTTTGTACAAGTGCCATGTGCCACCGAGAAAAAAAGTGTATTCCTTTCCATCCCCATTCAATTTTCTGCAGAGGTCTACCATATCTAACTTTTCTAAAATGCTATTCACCTCCTTAATTTCTTTCTTGTTTACTTTGTGGTTAGACATGTCTAATTCAGAGAGGGGGAGGTATAGGTTCCCCAAAGAAACTTAATTTCTACACATAGAATTCTGAATCATTTCAATTAATCATTCCTCATATTTCAGAGCTATACCATCTGTCTCAAATATACAAGTTTAGGATTTGTGGTATGATGACAGATGAATTTTTAAGAG